GGCGAAGACAACGAAACGGTACCTGGAAGCTGTGGGATTAAATGCTGCAGAACTGGAGAGGATGAACAAGTCTACCTTGAAGAAACGCCTGAAAGAGTGGGATGACAAACAGTGGAAAGAAGAGCTCGAGGCCAAGTCCAGTATAATGGTATACCGATCTGCCAAAACAGCCATTAAAGAAGATCCGATCTACGATAACACAGCATCGTCAATCATACTCTTCCAGGCCAGATCCAACACGCTCCCGCTGGAGACTAGGAAGAGACACACTGGCGAAGAAACCACGTGTCTCCTGTGTGGAGATGGGGAGGAAGACCAGCACCACTTCCTGCTTGAGTGCACCAAACTCGCAGAAGAACGGCTCAAGATGACTTCACTCCAACGCCCACACCAAGAAGACCAACTAGAAGTCCTGAAGACATTCCTCTTCAATGAAAGCACGGAAGAGATGGAGAAGAACAAGGAGGGACTCTACAAGCTCTGGAGACTGAGGAAGAGGAAACTGGTGACCGTGCCGGATGGTGAGCAGAGGACTGGAGCGGACAGAAGCTGACTTGTCTAATTCTGTCCAGGTTACATCCTAACCATATCCCAGAAACCTCCCACCACCCGACGCGCGTTTATAGGGCTACCGATGCAACCGGTGACAGCCCGACCACATCATCAGCATCAGCATCAGGAACGAGATACAGCTGCCCCGATGGTCTCATTGTGTTCAGCTCGTCAAGGTGCATCAAATGATATACATGATGACCTTGAAGTCTTGTGACCTGAGGTAAACCTTTGACCTTAACCTTTTGAGGTCAACATATACCTACATGTTTCAATGCGGATCGACGAGAGGATTACGATTATGCTATTAGTTTGCTCCTAATTTGACTACTTCAAAGGTAATTCGCTGAAAGTTATCTAGCGCCGCTATTTTGACTTTTTTACCCCTTTGTACCTATTTGTATTTGTAAAAGCACGAACTATCCACACGAATGTGGTTTTTACACTTCTTAGTAATATGAGGTACATAAAGCGAGGGTAAAACGCCGAACGCGATACATACAAACAAAAACAAAACACATACATACGCGCCTATTCCTACTAAAATCAACCCCTGTGACGTCATTTAACCTGACCTGAAATCATCTTTGACCTGACCTGAAATTACCTCAGTAAAAATTGGAGACCTTTTCCGTGAGTACCTAATGCCATTTACCGATGGTCGCTATCTTGCTTAGTTCTCGGGATCTCAGGGGGGATATCCGCCTTGCCCGTCGGTTCTAAGTTGGCGGGGCCCCTGTCGGTGCGTGGTTTAACCCGCGCCGGGCCGGGAGGGGTGTTTGAACCCCCCCTTGCGTTTTTTTTTGCAGACCGCCGTTTTTGGCGCAATTGCTCATGCATCTTTTCCGCACATGTTGTGAAAATTTCAGACCCAGGGCTCTCAAGGTCAGGTTTCCAGGTCACGTCAAGTGACCTCACCTCAGAAAAAGTTTCAATCCTCGTCATAGCTACACCGACTGAACGATCGCCTTGAAACTTTCAGCGACTTCTAAGAGTAACAGTATGTACAAAATGTATGGCTCGCAATTTTGCTATCGGTGACCTAAGGTCAGGTCAATTTTGCGACCTCTCCATTATTAGTCAATGAGGGAAAATTGAAATGCACCTCTTTTGGACGGATGGTGCTCAAAACCCTCTCAAACACATCGGTTCATGGGTAAACATGACACACTGAATCGGAAAAATGCACCTCTGACCCCTTTGTGCGCCCCTGAGGTCATCTCAGGTCATGAATGGTCACCAGCAGTTTTTTTGGCCATAACTTTTGATAGAGACGTGCTAGAGCGATGAAAACACGTCAGGTGTGTTCAGCTCGACGATACGGATCGACTGGTATGCAACATGACACTTTCCGGTCAGGTCATGACCTTGACGTGAGGTCAAATTTTCAAAATGACCTTTCAAGGTCAACGAATAGTTCATTTGACGCGTCGTGACGAGAGGAACATGATGCTGGAAAAAGTAGTGTCGTTGCACGCTTGAATCAAAAGTTATTACCGAAAAACCTTTTTTCGTGGAAAGGGCTATTTTTTAGTTTTGCCCTCTGGAGGCTAAACCGTTGACCTGGGGTCAGATCTGAGGATATTACTCAGAAAGTTCTGTAAAAGGGCTATGGAATGTGCTTTTCCGTGGCGCTGTAGCTCTACTGGTTCCCGAGTTAGCCGTTGGCAGGTTCCAGATTTGTTGAAATGGACTACATTTGACCTCTGATGACCTCTGACGACCTGACCTTTGACCTGACCCAAAAAATGATTGAATTGTTTCTGTCATAATTTTTGACGCTCTTTCGAATGTCGCTTACCGCGTTTCGCTACGTGGCACAGGAGCCGAGTCAGACGGGGGGGGGGGGGGGTGTTCAGAGTCAGACACCCCCGACCCGGCGCGGAAGTCGCGGAGCACTGGCCTGGCGCGGGTTCATGCTATTTCACGCAGGGTAAATGTGAAGATGAAGTACGGTGAAGATAAAAAACATAATCTAACCTGACCTTAACTGAACTACTGACCTACAAAATTGGACCTACCATCCTACAACCTACCAACCTAAAACCTACAACCTACAACCTACCAACCTACAACCTACCAACCTACAACCTACCAACCTACAACCTACCAACCTACAACCTACCAACCTACAACCTACCAACCTACAACCTACCAACCTACAACCTACCAACCTACCAACCATACTTTATCTACGCATATACCACATGTAATGCAACAACTGAAGCTCATTCAGGAAATTCGAGCTCTGTTATGGTTTGGGATTCATTTTTCATTCAAATGATTACCTACTCAAAAATTATCACATGCAAACTAATGCTATCTTTAATCACATTGCTGCCTCTCGGAAATCTACACTGGTCCTTTGCATCAATCTTCCACCCTCTTCACCAGGCACAGCAGCTGATCATCATGTGCCGACCACCAATTACCGGTCCTGTAGCTCAGTCGGTAGAGCTCTGGGCCCTGCTTCACCGGTGATAGCAGCACGCTGCTATTACACGTGTCAAATTGGGTTTCCATGGTGACGTCAACAAGCCTATTCCTCCAACACTACCAGAAGTGTGACGTCAGCTCGCGAAATGGAATGGCAGCGTGCTGCTAACACCGGCGAAACAGGGCCCTGGACTCCGCGTGGTGAGAGCACACGTTCCCGGTTACAACAGCCCGGGTTCGAAGCGCGACGGGCGCTTGACGTTTACGGGCCTCCTGACAGGTATGGTTGCGGTGGTGGCAGGCCGTAGCCAGGCGAAGACAGTGAGGGGACCGGCTGTGCGCGGCTATGTGCGCACGTTAAACTTTGGACTCTAAATTCTGTCATAGAACCGGAATAGCGCGATCGGAGGGTAGAGGACAGGGTCAACGCAACAAGTTTCGCTTAGCAGGAGCTCTGTCCTTGTGAATTTTTCCAATCAAAAAGGTTCGGACTAAATTTATTAAAAAAATTGCCATGTTGTCACCATGCATGTTTGTACCGTTACCACTCTTACCGTGTTGTGGTCTTAATTTCCTATGCTGTGCCGTTGTGGGGTGTTTTTACTCCACCATCGAACTTGGCTCCCAGGCTGGAAACAAATCATGTTACCGTCATCCTGGGCCATGTAGTGACGTTCAGTAAGCAGGATTCAAAAGAGCATAAAAAATAGTCAAGGAATACTTTGGTCATTTTTTTTAGGTCAGGTCACAATAGGTCATCAGAAGTCAGACTTTGTCTATTTTGACCTCACTCGACAAATTGTTGCATAACTCAGGAATGAATAGAGATACCATTACTACCATGAAAAGTGCATCCAATAGCTCCTTTTCCATTTTTCAAGAATGTGTCCTCACCTCAGCTAAGGTCAATGGTTTAGCCTCCAGAAAGCAATTAACTTGCACCGGGTCGGTGCTCGGCGCCAACCGCTCCGGGCCAGAGGGGGGGGGGGTGTCTTGAACAGTGAACACACATCCCATCTAACTCAGCTCCTGGGCCACGTAGCAGTAGTGACACGTGGTAAGCGGCATTCGAAAGAGCGTCCAAAACCAGGACGAAAGCACTTCGGTCATTTCTTAGGTCATGTCACCAGAGGTCATTTAAGGTAAAATGTTCCCTATTTCAACATTTTCGAAATGCTGGCGCGTAACTCGAGAACCTATAGAGCTACAGCGCCACGGAAAAGCGCATTCGATGGCGCTTTTAGTGCTCTTTTTGGAGCTTGTCATCACATTTGACCACACGTCACCTCCAGAGGCCAAAAAAAAAAAAAATCGATTTTGCCAAACATGTTTTTCTGCAATAACTTTTGCCTCAAGAGAGTGACGACATTTCTTTTGCCAGTATCGTGTTTCTCTCGTCGAGACACGTCGAATGAACTATACTTTGACCTTGAAAGGTCATTCTAAAAAATTGATCAAAGGTCAAGGTCATGACCTGACCGGAAAAGGTCATGTTGCATATCAGTCGAGCCGTATCGTTGAGCTGAACACATCTGAGGTGTTTTCGTCGCTCTAGCTTGTTTCTATTAAAGTTTTTTTTTGTTAAAAAAAAAATACTGCTGAGGACTTTTCATGACCTGAGATGACCTCAGGGACAAGGGGAGGGGTCACTGCTGCAATTTTCCGGTTTATTTTGTCATGTTAACGTGTAACCCGATGTTTTAGAGTGCTTATAATGACGTACGTCCAAAAAAGGCGCCTTTCAATTTTCTCCCACTGACATAATTTAGAGGGCACAAAATTGACCCGAGCTTAGGTCACCGGTAGCAGATTACGAAATACACATTTCATGCATACACTTTATGCTTTCGGCAGCTGACGGGTAGCCGATCATTGTGCCATTCCTGTGGCTTCGGCGCCCACTGCCTGGCTACACCAATCCCCTTGCAATGCATATAGAAAAAAAGGGTATTGAAAAACACCTATTGGTTTTGGTACACCTCAGTAGTACAGTAACCTATGTCTTCTTTCAGATCATTGCATCATGTCTGTGGAAGAGTTGTACAGCCAGGCCACCTCTGTGGCTTTGAAACAACACCCCAAACAAACAGACAAAGAGATTAGATATGGCACCGCTGGATTCAGAACTAAGTAAGTGGTGTGGCTTTTTTACTTTTGGTATATTTGTTATGTCTCGATCATTATGTTGAATTTCATTTATAGGTCATTGCATTTGTCATCTTGTGTTTGCATCAAGGGTTTAGATGTATGCTTAGTGTCTTAAGTTCAATTTTAGAACGTTTTGTTACAAAATTGTGTTGATGAAATTAATTTTAAAGAAGACATTTCACGAAATGTTGGTGTTAACAATGTAATGCTTGGATGTTACCCTGTATCGTTGTTCTGCTTCCTCCTTTCTTTACCTGTTATAAGCTAATTTTTCTCTAGTTTATAATGAATTTGATTAATTATTGATGCTCTCAGTGTTTGAAGGATTGTTTGTGTGTTTTCTTTGTGTTTACCGACAGGGCTGATATGCTGGACTCCATCATGTACAGAATGGGACTGCTGGCTGTGCTGAGGTCTAAAATTAAACAAGGCGAGTGACTGATATACTGCTTTAGTGCATGCTTGGTACGATGCTTTATGTTTGGTCGTGCAGTCAGGATTGCATCTGGCGTTCTTCTACGCTTCCTCATTTTCCGATTGCACGGAATTTCGATATCGCACGCTGTACGGTAGGTGCTGTAGGTCACTGGCTGATGAAGAATGGCGCTCTTGGACACTGCATGGGGGGGGGGGGCATACACCTCCAACGAAGCTGCTCCAAATTCATTCATTTGCCCCGAAGGCCTCCCCTGATCCGCCAGTACGGTAGGTAGAGACTAGTGTTCAGCGTTTGTACAACAAGTTCTAAGGTCTTTATCTGTGATCTGAAATCGCAAATCTGCTTTAATTTCACTGTCAATGAAATTTTATCAAAGTAACATACTTACGTTTGATAGTTATTGCTCTTTCGTCCGCAGTAGTCATCGCTAAGTTCTGTAATATTTGCATGGTAAAACAAAACTGCGAGTCACCTTTGTGTTTTTTTTCTCGCATGACTCTGGTGTCGCATACCTTTATGCAGCCGGCTGCGTTTAACTTTCGAAACGTGGGTTAACGCGGGGCAGTTAAGTGCTCCCACCGGGTAACATGTGGGGTCAGTAGTCTGTCCTGGAAGAGCCATTAGCTGAAAGGTCACAGCACGGTCGGCACGTTTGGAAGCATTCTCGGCCGTTAGTGGAAACCGAATGACTGCGTGGGCAGGCTCTCTCGCAGATGCAATTGGGCTCGCCCAAGAGGCACACTTGACTAGAATGGCGTATTTCTTCATCGGTCGTGGAATAGTTGCACACATCTTTTCCAGTTGAACATATTGTAGCTATTTTGCTGTTAACCTGAACGGAATAGATGGCATGCATGTCAGCTACATGGGAATAGACGATTCTGTCATTTTAAAATTGACGCATGTCAACTGTTCGCATCAGTATAAGCTGTCTGTAGTTTTAATGGACTGAAACTACCGTGTGTAACCAGTACAGTGGATCTAGTAAGGATCTCCAGACGTTACTAGATGGCGTTGAGCCTCAGTCGAGTCCATGTCAAATTCAAGGGGAGGTCAGTACCGAGCTGGGCCCGATGGGGAGGTAGGCGGGAGGGGGGGGGGGGGCGGTTGGCGAGGTCACGGTGCGGGTGACCTGTCAAACAGCCCCGGCGCGGTTGGGCACTGCCGCAGGCAAATGGCGCACTCGAGTGTTGTTCCATATCGCGGTGGTGGGCCGGGCCGGGGCGGCCGGTTAGCTTGGCTGCTTGGAGGAAAGGATAATGAGGCATGGGTTTGCTGTGGCCGGTTCATCTACTGTCAACTATGATGAACCTAAAGTAATGCAAGTATGATGCTGGTAATGCAGCTGGCAACGGAATGCTAGCGGATGCTCCAAGCGCCCGTAGGATTAAGATTATTTATGTCTCCTGAAATTTTCATTGAATATAATTCAAGCACTAGAAACATCGTATCGTTCGCCAATTTTTTGACCGGCTGGCGTTTTTTCCGTAGAGCGCCCTTGGGCAAATACCTAATTATCACGCAGGTGATTTATTTTTATTTTTTTGCTGGTAAGATTTAAGGTCAAATCAAGTCGCTGAGAGGAGATGAGGAAAAGCGGACGAATGCCACATTTTTGTGCATAAAGTCTCGATTAAAAAAAGGCTTAAAGTTATTATACGTGTAAGCTAAAAAAACAATAAGATCAGTTAAAGGGACCCTCCCACCTTAACATTAGATTTGAGTTGAGATAGCCAAAATGGGGTCCCTGACTCACAATTACCGGTTTCGGCACTCACAACATCGAGAAATGCCTTAAATCGGAAATATTGAATTTCAAAATTGAAGCATTTTGATTCAGAGGGGCTAATGCATAGGAATACCCCTCTGAATGTGTGACGTCAGCGCAGATATCTAGCGATTTTTAAATGTTTGACTAAAACGTTTTGTAGCACGCGGTGGTATATGCTGCTTTGCGCGCAACAAGTGCCGCACTTTCAGCTGCCAAACTATTGCTTCCAAATAAAGTCGCTAGGAACAGCGGAGATCCCAAAAAGTAAACAAAAGTAAAAGTCTAATATCTTGAAAACCGGTGAATGTTTTTTCGGTGAAATTTGGTAGATATTCGTTTTCGCTCTTTCTGAACCGAGCGACATCACTTTCATGCCAATTCATAAACTTTTTGAAGGTGGGAGGCTCCCTTTAATAAAAATATTTGACCCGAAATTGGCCTCTGTTTTCTCTGACCATGATTGCGTGTAAGACACAGGTCCAACCGGGTTCAACCCGACCCAACATGGTTCGGCTCCCCTTTTTTAATATAAATTTGGCCCGAACCTTTTGAATGAAAGGAATCATAAGGAAAGAGTCCCCACTAAGCTGAGCTTGTTGCGTTGACCCTACCCTTTACCCTCCCATCAAGCAATTCCTGGTCTATGGCAGAATTCAGAGTCCAAAGTTTAACCTTCCAGGCGGTGGGGGGGGGGGCATTTTTTTGCCCCCCCTTTAGTTTTTTTCGATATATCTCGAGAACCGCTGCGCCGATCGTCACCAAACTTTCAGTACCCTCCCGGGAGCAGCTAGCGCACATGGCGACCAAAATTTTTTCCAAAGGCTATGATAGGTTGGCCGCTATTGACGTCAGAGTGACGTCATTTTTGCCATTTTCGACCCAAAAAAAGGTTTCGCGGGAAGAGCTGTCAGGCCTACAGCTTTAGAGATACAGAAAAATGTTTCAGACATAAAAGGTGTGGAATTAAGAGGGCTACAAAACTGCTATTTAGGTTTTTCGAATTTTTTGGATTTTGACCCCCAAAAATCAAAAAATAGATTTTTTGAATATAATAGCCTAAAAATCCAAAAAGTTTTTTGAATTTCGAAAAAACCGGAATATATGCGATAGCCCCTACCGCCTTCTATCTACATACCAAATTTGAAATCGATACCTCTTTTTTTGGCCAAGTTATAGCGAAAAAACTGTTCAAAATTGATGACGTCAAATTTTCAAACTCAATTTTTAGCAATTCTAGACCTCGTAGCGCAAAACAAAGACCACCATTAGACTCCCCGTGACGAGCTGCATCGAATCGATACCCATTTTATGCAAAAATATCAACTTTGAAATTTGACCTTTTTTGACCTGACCTTGACCTGACCTCCACCAGAAAGTGACCTAAACCGTACCTGATGGTCTTATAACCAACACCATTGAGTTGGAAATGAAAAACTGGCCATAAAACATGCATCACATAACCTTAGTAAAGTTGGGCTCATGTGGTGACCCTTGGTGACCTTTGGTGACCTGACCTGTGACCTGACCTGGTATGACCAGTGACCTCTAATAGCAACATATGTACTATACAACTGACGCCTTATCGCTGATTTTCGACAAAATGCGTTTTACTCGGTGTTATAGCGCTTTCCCTAGAAGCCCCGTGAACGGTGAAACATTTTATCTTTGACCTGATCTGTGACGTCATCGGTGACCCCGAGGTCAATGAAATTTGGTTTCCCTCGACAAATTTTACAGGGCTATCGAACGTCGTTTGAATTTTCCGGATCCGTCCAGTAGTTTCGGAGATACGGGGGGGGGCAAAAAAGTGCCCCCCCACCGCGCGGAAGGTGGCTGGTAGGCCCACCGCCTGCCGGGTTAACGTGCGCACATAGCCGCGCAGGGCCGATCCCCTCACTGACTTCGCCTGGCAGCGGCCTGCCACCAACCACAACCATACCCGTCAGGAGCTCAAAAACGTCAAGCACACATCGCGTTTCGAACCCGGACTTTTGCAACCGGGACGTGCGCTCTCACCACACGGAGTCCAACGCCCTACCGACCGAGCTACTGGGACGGACAATTACCTAGGGGCTTCGCCTCGTGACATTGACAGACGTCAGACACTTTGGCCGAACTATAGCCGTAGCACTGAGCAAGCTGCGCAGGGCGATAGGTGCTCGTAGCGTTTAGGTTGGGTAACTTGTGAGCTGAACGCGATGTCGTGAGTTCGAGCCCCACTCCCGGGTCTGTTTTTTTTTTCTGGACACGAACCAAAACCTTTTCTTCTACTGCAACACAGACAAGCACGATGACATCTTTCGCCAACATCTTTCCCCAAAATCCTCTCAAAAAAGTCAAAGTTATCGCTTATAAATGTCTAGCTTAGTTTCATTTTTAAAGAAAATATTTTTGGTCATTTTCCTGGAGCCATTTTAACTCTTTCTTTTCGGATTCTTTTCGACCCGATAAACTCATCAAAACTGAACGTGCCAAATGAAAAAAATACCCAACTCAAATAACATTTTAGGAAAGCCTAAGACTGTCATCATGCAACTATCGACTGAATAGTTGCATGTTTTTAATACGTCCTAGATTTCAATTATCATTGTTCAAGATTTTGGCTGGAACAGGCGCTGCCTCTCGCTTGTCCGTTTGTTTGAGATAATGATTCCCTTCAGTCGCATTCTTGCTGGTTCCACATGAACAGGATACCACCATACCGGAGTGAACGCACCCGCAGCCATCATCCCCTCCCCTCAGCCTCGGCGCAGTGGCGGGCGGCCCACTCCCGGCGCTACGCACGCCCCATGCGCCGTGATACCGCGTCACTCCCCCTCCCTCCTTCCCCCACAATGACCGGTGACCTCACTTCCCTCGGGATTTGGACTCGCCCTACCCCGACCGTAGCGCCACGTGGTGGCTCTGGAGATCTTAAATAGACCCACTGTACCTATCTGAGTACGATGAACCTATAAACTCGGGTATTCGGAGAGCCCGCCGGAGTTCGGACGCAGAGGTGAAACCTAACCGTGGCCGTGGTTTCAGGCGCCAGTATCGGGGTGATGATCACGGCCTCGCACAACCCGCAGCCGGATAACGGCGTGAAACTGGTGGACCCGCAAGGGGAGATGCTGGAGGCCGCCTGGGAGGCCATTGCCACCGACCTGGTCAACGTCAGGTGGGTGCGACTTATGGGGAACATCGGCTGGGTGAGAGTGGCTGCCAGCGTGAGGCGGATCAGAGCGCTGAGCCCGCCAGCTCGGCCCCGTGATGCAGTATTGGAGAGCTATAGGTGACCGCTCGCGCCCAGGAGTCCGGAGCGATGTCCGGCGTCCGGACAATTCTGAGTGATAGCTGACGCCAGGTGGGCTCGAAATCGATGGTTTACCTTGGCGATGCCCGTGCAGAGTCACGCCTGTAGACTGGTGTTCAGTCTCAGACCCCACAGTCCACGGAGGCTCAACCTGCCCCTTAGTTGCAGAACATCTACATCATCCCACCTTTTTTCACCCAAACCCGTCGGGGAAAATAAGGCCTACCGGGGAAATAATGTCCGTTCGATGGTTATCAGGTTGTTATCAGTTGGCTAATGGCTACCGTATCCTGTTAATGCACCGTCCGATCAGCAGATTATCGAACTCTGCTCAAGTGTGCGCCACTTAAGACCATGACAGTGAGTGAGTCTTTGAGTGAGTGACGCCCACATGACTCAGTCTCAGACACTGAGCCGATAGTTCGGCTGTCCACGGCCCAGCCCCGCACTGATCGCGAGATTTGAAACGAGAGCGATGGCGAAGCGCGCCTCTAACTTATGTGTGGACACTCGGACTCAGTTTGATGCTGTTTTTAAATTGATTTAAACATTCACTGAAATATCCTAGCCCGTAATTTTAGCTCGGATTCCACCGAAATCGGGAACACGATCTCCCAGTTTCCGGGCGTGCTATAGATCCATTCCTTTCGGCTGAATGAGCCTGTACGGATAGCCGAGCTTTATCTAAGGTCTGGCGGTGCTATCAGGGAAGCTCATCAACATGACAAATATGTTTACTCAATTTTTGTCTTCATGCTATCAGCTGCTAGGGCTCAGAGTTCGTATGCTGTTGGTTGGGATGTTTCCGGCTGGAGGCGGGTCTCTCCGCGCGGCCTTTTTTCTGGTTGGTTGTCGCCAATAACAGGAAATCACATCATTACGGTAACGATGCGGTAACGGACCTCCCTCCGCGCCCTCATTGCTCCGACGCCTTCGATGAGTCTCCCCTAGGGAACTCTCGGAGGGGAGGGTACGTGGGCACTAGGCTGTGGGCTGCACAATATCAATTGCCGGCTAATAGACTCGCTTGGACGTGGTCTCAGTTTTGTTTTGCTTATCGCCCTGTTTGTAGAATAATTGTCAGGTATGCAACTAACCGTAATATTATGGAACAATTGGAGTCGGGAACGCCGAAAACACACAGTTTTTAGATGCTCTGTTTCACCGCATTTTGCGGTGTTCTTGCGTATCACACCGCGCCTGTCATATCCTTTTACACACATGTTGACGTTAATTACATGAATCTCGAGTTGAACAAACACAGCCAGCGTTTCTGTCATAACGCACCGTTTCTGCGTTCGCCGTTGCGTTCGCGCCGTTTGATTTCGGATCGGATGGCGGCCGGCCGTGGCGTCGAGCGGCGTCCCGTTGCCGGCCGGCGGCCGATCACCTTTCACGCCGGCCCCGCCCGATACGGCTCTTATCGACGGACAGGCGTCAGAAGTCGGGGCGGCCGGCCGAGACGGGCGTCACGGCCCGATAGTGGCGTGTGGCGGGATCAGCCGCCGTCAGTACCGGTCACGGTAGAGAGGGAGGGCAGGACGGCGACCACCGGGTGTCCCTGGCCGCCGCCACCGACTACATATGAACTCAGTCACAGAGGGGAGGGCAGGACGGCGACCACTGGGCGACCCTGGCCGCCACCACGGACGACCGGTGACGGCGGACTTTCTCAGACGCGAACCGGGACGTTAAAACCGCCGCCGGTTCTTGGGTACTAACTCGCTCAAACATCCATTCACTCACTCTAGTCTGTCTTTGGTCCCATGCTTCCGCCTATTCGTATCCGCTTATCTCAGTCGTTCTCTCCACTCTCTCCTCGTCCCACCTACCCCTTCTCCTGGTCTCTCCCTCTCTCCCTGCCTCTGTCGCATGATGAGATCTTGGCTTAGGCTGAAGTTGAACGGAGGATAGAACAGAGATCAACAGTGTTTGCTGTCGGCGATCGGAACTATCGCACTTCCTCTCTCTTGTTATCGTCTTCCCACGGCGGGCTATCGGTCGTACTCCCTCGACTTTACTACCTAGTACCTACTCACACGGATGTGCTATCGCATGCTCTCATGATTTAGTCATCGTGCTTACTCGCCTGTACTTTGCACCGTCACAGTTTTTGCTGTCTAACAATCGCGGCAGAAAATTGTTGCTCTACTGCTACGTCAATAAACGTTGCGTGGACGTATTATACACGCTGAAAGAGAACAGATGAAGCATAAATATGATCGCAAAAATTTACTGTACATGGCTTGTTTCTGTTTCTTATGAAACAAGACAGGCTTTCAGGACTCAGGGGAGACATTTTTTTTGTCATTTTCCATGATTTTCTGCAAAGAATGCATTGGCGATCGATGAGTGCCGAATTCGGTGTGCTCGTAAATATGAGCTGTATTTACAACTTAACTACTCCTTAATAACTTAACGTGTTCTCTGTGTATTGTTACCCTAACAAGCACGGAATATAGGGGAGAGTGGGGAAAGATGCCCAGGGTTTTACTATGTCATATATTATTCAAAAATGACGATTGGAAAGCAAAAACTTGGGGTTTCAACGGAAGCCGACATCATTTTTCTCCAAATATATCACACTTTGGTGCCTGAAATATGATAACTTTTTTTTGCTATTAAGCATTTTCCTGAAGAAGTCAAAGGGGGCATCTTACCCCACAGGGTGGGAAAGACGCCCCCTGGCGTTGGGGAAGATGCCCCCTGCACTATAAGTGACATAAATGGGCACGTGAATCGCCTGAACGAATCAGTAGTCCCTTCGAGCCTGCAGTAGACACCAAACGTCATCGTAAGGGCCCTCAAAAGTGGTCGTAAGGGGCTTCAGAGGTCATCGTTAGGGTCATCATAGTCCAGCGCGGCCAAACAAGCTTCCGTGGTGGCGTTCGGAGACCACTGTGGGGCCCTTATAGGTCTTCATGATGCTTGAGGGCCCTCGAGCCCATCGTGGGGACCTCAGATGCCAGCGCGGCCCGTGGAGCCAACGTGGGAGCCCTCAAATGATATCGTGAGGGGCCCTGGAGCCAATAATGGGGCCCACCGAGGCCGTCGTGAGGGCTCTCAGAGTCAGATGCCGCCCAAAAAGTCGCTGTGTGGGCCGAGAGACCGGCATGGGGAGCACCCGACCGTACTGGACTCTCAATGTTCCCAGACCGGCTTTTGTCTCTCATCACAAGCATGTAATAAATGATTTGACGGGCTGCTTGAAGGACAGCCTACGGATTTAGGGGGGCGTCTTTCCCCATCAGGACAGGGGGTATCTTACCCCAAGGTACCGAAGAAACATTAAATCAGTACAATATGTTAGCCATAAAACTATACCCTGAAACAAACTGTTTGGGACACAGCACACGGATGTTAATGTATCACGACTATAGCAAGGGACGCAAAAATTATCTACCTTCTTTGATATTTACAATGTTTTGACACCAAAATATTTTTCGTAAGCAGCAAATAAAAAACATGCATTCACCAGCCAGCCGTTGCCCAACTGAGCTTCGCAATTTTTTTGTGCAGTTAACGAGGCAGGCTTCCGCTTTACGCTAAGAACGTTAATTTCCGGGTTCAATTCTTTGTTTCGCCGCTAGAGGGGGTGGGGCGTCTTTCCCACCCTGGGCATCTTACCCCACTCTCCCCTATAGTCTACGACAGTCGTAGACTATATATTCCGTGCTAACAAGTAAGTGATTGGTACGCTTTTTGCTGATGTTCAATTGAATTCGAGGCGAATTAATAGCACACTCGACTAACCGTCCATCTACTAGCCGAACTGTATGGAATCCAGTTGAACGGAATCAAATGTTCCATCGGCTGCATTCAATCTCGGCTGGCTGAAACAAAGCCATGCTTTCAATCGTCAAAAGTCAATCTCCATTTTGATGGTTGTTGTTGACTAGAAAGATTTTTGTGGATTTCTGATTCCGCCAAAGCCAATAGAGAAATCAGAAAATACTCGTAGCTTGTGGCTCCCGCTCATTACACCCGTTAGAAGCGGTTTGAGAGTGAGACGGCGGTGGAAAACGCGGAATGATTAATAAGTATGTTATGCGGTTTTATGTGACCCGCTCCAGATCTAACTGTTTTCTACACACATGCACCCTAGCTCAGTGGCTGGGGAAAGCTGCCTCCCCCCGCCCGGCGCTCACATTTGGAGCTGAACAGTGAACAAGTTCAAAAGAAGCGAGCACAGCAGCGGTGATAAAGCCGCGGCCTTGTATCCATGGGAATTCATAGATAGATCCATTGTGAACTTCCACTGAGAGACCCTGAAAAAGGGAGAGCGACGAATTGTCGTCCTGAGTGAGTCTGCCGCAGCCATTGGCCGTGCTTATGGCTGGCCGGGTCGTTTGGCAGGGCTTCCGTCCCGGACGGTAAAGTCGAGCGGACAAAAAGGCTCGTCTGGTCGGCGTCGGTGTCGGCCGCCGGACCGTGAGCCGCCGCCGGGCTCCGGAGCCACTCTGTCAGCTGTCGGCCCTCGGGATGGACTCATCTGCCACGGGGCGACACTGGGAGGACGGAATACCGGGAACGGCGGCGGGTCAGCAGCCAGTCCGCCGGCCGCGGGGCACCGGGTACATACAGTCCGCCGGGCTGGGGCACCGGGCTGTCGGGCGCAGTCCGCCGTCCACCCCACCGGGGCAACGGGTACCGGGCTCAGTCCGCGGGGCTGGGACTTGGGATAAGAACACTGGGCACTGGGCAATCGGGCACCGTCCGCCGCCCGCCGGGGCGCCTGATACGGCCGATCGGACGGCGCGTCGCGCTGCTGCCCGCCCTGTCTGTTTTCGTTTGGTGTTGCCAAGGATGGGGTTAGGACTGCACTACAATGACAGGCTCTGTGGTGGATGAGACGGATGCCGGGCTCCAGCGCGCTTCCTGCACGCGATGGAGGGATCTTTTGTGGAACGCCTGAAGTCCAGCTATTTGCGCCGCATTTTGGCCTGAGTTGTTGAATGGTTTGTGTGGCGGCCGTGGTGAAAGCCCACAGTATCGTTCATCAGCTCGCCATAGTGACTTTATAGCGTGCCTCGAGCTGGTTCATTATCGTCTGAAACCGATGGGGCTGCAGACATGGATTTGTGTCGCCGTACTTCAGAGCGCGGAGCTGCCGCTCGTCCGCGCTCCGATCGACAGCTCGCCGACCGCCAGTGCGATGCCAGCTGTCACTCCCGCTGAGCTACGGTGACACTCACAGGCCCATGGCTGCGAGCCTTCAGCGCCGAACTAGGCCCTCAGAACCGAACCGGGCACCCAGTGTCGAACTAGGCCCTCAGCGCTGCAGATTGGTCCATGGTCCTGAACCGACACCTCGGGCCGTGACTGCAGGTCTCCATGTCAGGCTGGTTGATCTGGCTAGTGGCTTATCGGCTGTGTGAACGGGTTTGGTGCTGATGCACACTGCTAGCTGTGAGTTGGTGTCCTCTCCCAAGGTGGTCGTCCCCGTTCCGGCTCCTTGGGTGGGTCACTGCGCTGTCAAGGTGGCCGTAAACAGCAGCTCTGCGCGCCGAGCCAGTCGGTTTATTTCGCTGTCAGTCTGCACAGCCGGAAATGGTGTCACGCCACCCACCGGACGGCGGCCACCACTGCACTGTGATGACAAATACCGCGGTCACTGGCAGAGCCGCAGAGGGCTCAGGGATCGCGGACGGCAGACGAGAGACGACATATTGATAGACGACAAACTGACGGATGACAGACTGACAGACGACAGGCTTGCAGGGGAGAAAAGGGTCGATAACAATTCGGCAGACTGACAGACCGACAGACTATAAATTGTCAGACGGAAACAGATGCTGAAACCATTCACAGGTGAAAAGATCTGCTTGTGAATATTGAATAAGCATGTAGGGCAGGTGACTGGTAATGATACATAAATGAGCAGTGACCAGTGAGGTGCGACGAGACACTGGTGGCCGACTGTCAAAGACAGACGCGTTGGCAGACGGTGGTGAAACTAACTATATCATGGACTGTTGTATCTCCGGACGTCTTCAATATCGGCTGGTGTGGACGCGACTCGCAACTTTTCGGCCACAAGCTTTGGTACAAAACAACTTCTTTCCAATCGCAGCTGCCACGGATAGTCGCCGAAGATATCCTTTCGACTTCTTATTGCTTTTCCAACGTTATTTTTCTCCAGAGCTGGTGATACCTTTTTCAGCCTGCAGCGCACCGGACAGCTGGTAATCCTGTTTGTCCTTGCCTCAAAGTCGCTTTGTTGCTAGTTCCGATGGACCTCTACGTCTTCGCGTGGTCGCGACGTGCCATTCCCGTCCTGTTGCCGTTTAGTCCCGTCCTTCCGTCCCGTAGTACCCGTCCTGCCGTCCTGTAATCCCGTCCTGCCGTCCTCCGGTTCCAATTCCGTCGTCGCCGCCCCTTGTGGTGTGCTCATTTGGGGACGTGTTTGGTCGTCGGTGTTGGCCGCGGCGTTTACCCATCGGTCCCCGGGGACGACGCTGGTGCGATAAACACCGATGACAGAAATGACACCACGAGCTGAGCTGACACTGACACTGTTGACACTAAGACCACGAACCGGGGTGCCGCTGATCTACTTGTGCATGCTGGGCTGATACTGACACAGTTGGAAGCAGGGCTGCGGAGTCGATGGATTTTCGGCGACTCCGACTCCGACTCCGACTCCGGCTTTCAAAAACCAGCTCCGACTCCGACTCCGACTCCGGGCAGAATTGTCGACTCCGACCGACTCCAACTCCCGACTCCGACTCCGCAGACCTAGCAGGGCTGCGGAGTCGACAGATTTTCGGTGACTCCGACTCCGACTCCGGCTCGGGTTTCTAAAATCGACTCCGACTCCGACTCCGACTCCGGTCACAACTGTCGACTCCGACCGACTCCGACTCCGACTCCGACTCCGCAGCCCTGGTTGGAAGGGTAGACCGACACCGCGAACAGAGATGTCCCTTACCTGACACAGCGAGCAGAACGGGCATTGAACTGACACTGACTCCACTGACAATGACACCGCAAATAGGGTTGCTACTGAACAGTGCGATCGGAATCGACACTGACATCAACAGATGAACGGACTGATTTTGGAAGACTGGTTTCGAAAAGAAACGTGTCCAAAAATAACTAGGTGAAAATTCGCTTTACCAGGCTATGCATTTTGTGAGTCAATGACTAACAAACATTTATACGTTCACTTATTATATTTCGGTATTTGTGTTGTATCGTCTTGATAACATTCCGTCTTGACGGTGGCTTATGTCTTTCTCGGGCCATATGGCGAGTACAATGGGCATCTTCGGAGCGAGGGTTTTCTCGAGACCGACCGACATTCCGTCAATAGAGACGACGCCGGCAATGATTCCGGGCTGACCTTTGTCGACTGGTGGCCGTCGGCGGTGACTTGGCGGATGAATTGACGGCTCACTGGCCCGCCGACTGGGGCGCTGTCTGGATGCCTGGCTGTCTGGCCGTCGGGCTGTCTCGCTGTATGACTGTCGGGCTAGCTTGGTGTCTGGCCGTCTCGCTGGCTGGGTGTCTGGCCGCTTAGCTGTCTGACTGTCTGGCCGTCTGGCTGTCTCACTGTCTGGGTGTCTGGATTTCTCGCTGGCAGGGTGTCTTGCTGTCTCCCTGGCTAGTTATCTGGCTGTCTCGCTCCCTGGGTGTCTGGCCGTCTTGCTGTCGGGCCTCTTAGCTGTCTCGCTGGAGGAGTGTCTGTCTAGGTGGTTGGCTGACAGATAACTTCAAACTCTGCCGACAACAAACTTTCTGTTGTTTCAATTAACCACTCGATGCCTTTGTTAGATATTATCAAATGAAGACAGTCGCTAGTATGCATCTATGGTGCAAGTTTATTGTGCTGTCTGTTTCGGTTAGGCAGAACCATCAAGGCCCTTTGTTCTTTGGCTGATCGCACCCTTGTGCCTAAGTCCATTCGCTCAACTACCTGTATTACTTTATGTGACTGCGAGTATCGTGACTGTACGGGGTGCGACTACGGGACTATGTATATCCTGCGTTTCGCACAGTACCTAACATGCTGACTGACCGTCACCGTTACTCCTCTGCTTCCAGTGACGCCGAGCTCGGCCAAAAGCTGAAATCCATCGTGGAGTCCAAGGGCATCCAGTGGTCCAACCCGGCGCACACCGTAGTCGGACGGGATACCAGGTAATACACTACGCCGTTGTCGAACGGGACACCAGGTAATACACTGCGCCGTGGTGGGGCGGGCACCAAGTAACAGTCCATTTTTACGGGCGTACTTCTGTTATTCAAATACTCTGCTTCTGACCATTCAGCTGCGTTCATTTCTTTTTGGATACATCACAACGGTACGTCAAATCAGAACAAACCTGCTAAAACAGTTGCTGAACTCGAAAGCACTGTCGTCCTCCCGGCGCCCATGTTGTGTTTTGGATGAATATGGGCGAATAACAGTATGCACGGTTCGTGCTTAAGTGTGTGGGTGATTATTGAAGCTCATCTAGAGTCCGTGGAGTTCTTCGCCGGTGGCTGTGTCCCGTTTTGAAGGACTATTTCCAGTGCGGTTAAATGTTGTTTGTCCTGAGCGGGGGCCGCCTCATTGACCCTCGTGGGCTGTTTTCGACGGGTCGCCTTTCGTCGTGTCACGCCCTTGGGAGAGCAGCTGGCAGTTCCTGCTAGTTAACATCCCAGAATGAGAACGCCTACCAAAGTATTATCTCTTACCCTCGATCGTGTTTTAGTATTTCCTACGCCCGTTAGTTGGTATAATGAGATGACCTTGGATGAAAAAGTGTGAACCAGTACCACTCTGCAGACACGCACTCAGCTCTTCTTTCTTTGATAAGCGGATACATTTTTGATAGTACGAAGGGAAGGGTCGTTATCGCGTTTTTGAGGAGCATGGCTCAATTCTTATCAACCCTTCCACCCCGTCCTACCGCAGGCCCAGCTCCCCGGCGCTGCTCAGGGCCGTCCTGGACGGGATCGCCGCGCTGAAGGGCGAGGTGGTGGATCTGGGCATTGTCAGCACCCCGATCGTCCACTATGTGGTGACGTGCATCAACTCGAACGGCGCCTACGGCCAGGCCAGTGAGGAAGGCTACTACAAGAAACTGACGGACGCCTTCAAAAAGCTCCGGCCCGAGGTAATTCGACCGCTGCACGGCGGGAAGGGAGGGAGGGAGCCAGTGCTGGACTGATCACCACAAAATTCAACTACTTCAACTACACGTATTTTACACGTAGACTACTACAACTACACGTAGTTCAGTTTTTTCTTTGTTTTTTCATACCTTGTCAGAATCACTCATTTCGATCCGTGGTGTTTCTTTCTTAAAAATAAAGGTTTAAACTTATCAAGCTATATTTCTGACCTAGCGTACACCTTAACTCATGTTTTTAGGCAATGTGTTATTTTATCTCTTCTCACTTCTTTCAGCGCACTTCTCTGGCCAGAAAGGTGCCAATGCACATAACTTTCATAAGTTAGACGTCAGTGTGGAAGAAAAGCCATTAGCCATGGCGTGCCTTAAGCCCAATAATTGATCTCTTCCTGACCCACTAGTCGCGTAACTGTTCTTTGGCCTGTGAGGTACTAAAGCGTTCCTAGATGAAACTTTATCTGGATCTAAACACTTATCGAATTGAATTAAGTTATCGAATTAAGATATCGTTTAAGTTTTGTTGGCTGCTCATTTATGAGCAGTTCTCTATTTTTGCATACGTTATGCATAATCTTCACGGCGTGTGTTTTAGCAATTAAATCCTCATGAAAGCATAGATGAATCCCATATTTTTTTATATTTTAGCTTTCTGGAAACCGATCATATTTTCTTGGACATTCTCCAAACATTAGCCGTCTAAATAGAGTCATCGAGACTGATTTAATGCAGTCATTTCCTTAATCGGTGGACGGTTTTGGAAAGGCTGCTGATTAAGTGCATCCGCAGCCGCTTCCTAGCTAAACCGTATCCAAATTAATCTTATAATAGTGTAGAATGGACTACGATGGCGCCAAGAGAAATGGACGGCGGCGGCACAATTAGCTGGGACGCTCCGGCGGCCGGCGCCCTTTGTCTTCGGGCCTGTTTGGTCTTCTGCTCCGCCGGCGTTTGCTAACGACTCTGCGCCAGTGCCCCCCTCCCCCCCGTCCTGGGGGGCTGCCATTTCGGTCCCCCGACCCGCCTCTTAACTAATTACCTGCACGACGGGGAAAATGAAAAGCTGGCTAGCCAATTTACATGCTAATTTTCGGGTAAAGTTGCACTAATACTTGAGTTGCCGGTGTTACGATGCAAATGTGACCGCGCTTGACCGATATTTCGTCGTCATTTTAAAGGCATTTGCGAGTTTGCCAGCTCCTGTCCATGCCGGTGCTCTGGATTTTACGACTGGAGACGTTAGGCTGTTATTGGCCATTATTTCTCATAAAGGGTAACACATGGCGCCCTCGGTCAAACCGGCAAGAGCCCCACAAAGTTTAAGTACTGATCTGTTTATGTCCTTATTTAGAACACTTTCAGCAGCATTCAAGGCGACAATTTAGCCTAGAAATTGGAATCCCAAATGATGTTCAACCAATAAACACTTTCCATTTTGCTTCACTGCTCTTGAAGTCTCCCAATGGTACTTAATAGTCGCTGGTCCATCTGTTCAGGCTACTTTAAACTCCATCCATCATCATCAATTTCCTCGACATGCCGGCTGGCTTCCATTCATGAGGCTAGTCGAAAGCTTTTGGTGTGCCGCTGTCTTCAGTTCTCACTTGGCTTCTGATGGCCTGTTACCGGGTGAGCGCTGGAATGGGCCGTCTCCGCCGGTCTCCATCCTTTCAATGTTCTTCGAATATCACTTGCCGTTTCGCCGAGCACCAGAGCTGTCGAATTCTGATCAAGCAATCGATCAGGACTACAACAGTCTCTCTTCCTGCATTGTTCGTACCCTGGATCAATGTGTGCTGTAAATTCGAACTGGACATCTTTGTGCCATAACTTCTAAGCTATCGCAAACATACGACAATAGCGGCTGAAAAGATGTTTGGCCACTTTCGTCCCCCGTGACATCTCAGGGCCGGCCCCAAAGCCCGCCCGTATTAAATTTGCCGCGAGCCGCTGACGCAGAGCTGACAAACTTGCGGCCAAACTTGTGCAGAAGGTGGGCTGCCGTCCACACGGTGTGTCCCGTCCGATTGTTGTCCTCCGCCAGTGCCGGCACTGGTAATCAGAGCCAGGACACAAACACGCAGTCTGAACCGCACCGGCGCGCCGCGGCCTCTGAGGTGGCCCAAATGAGATCCGCTGCCGGCTCTAGGTCTCAGCTGGGAATTCCCCGCTAATTAAAACGTGACACAACCTGGCTACCTGGCGGAAACATGTGTTTCTGTGTGCGACCTTTAGCGCTAATTGAATGGTCCTATGAAATTGCACCACACTAACTATATTGCACGTTGCCCTCTGGTTTAGATTAGCGCTTAACATCCTGTATTGCGCGCAGATGAAAGTCATTTACGTGGTACTCATTTACCGACTGTTTCCTCGTATTTAATTTATTTTGGCTTTCAGAAACATCTGAATTTTTCGCTCTCGTGGCGAAGATGGGCGCTGTCGTGACTTTGACAATTAGTTGAATTTATTATCAATGCAAATTATTAAGAATTGCATTTCAGGACATCAGGGACAAGTACACAGTACAGACTAACTGCTGTTGATCCTGACCATAATAAAAACCTTAACAGGTGACAATTACTTTTTAGGGCAAACTGCATTGCACATTTATCGTATTGCTCTGTGTAACATCACGGACAAGTAGTTACGGTGCGAGCCATTTCCGCTCATGACCGTCGCTCGATTTCGCCACCGCCTGTCATTGTGGCTGTCGTTCCGTCTGAGCCGCTCTCCGTGATTTGTGGCCGCTGACAATCACGACCTCTTCCCCGACAGCCCACCAACGGCAACTACCAGCCGGCCGTCAAGTTCGACGGTGCCAACGGCGTGGGAGCCATCATGATGCGTCGCTTCATCGAGCTGTTGGGCCCGTCACTGCGGGTCGAGATGTACAACGAGTCCGGCGAGCTCAATCATCAGGTGTGTGGTGCCGGCTGACGGTGTCGCTGAGGGTGCCGTCCTCGTTGCTGTCTGGTGCTACTGGTAAAGCTGTGGGTGCTGTTGCCGGCGCTGCTGCTGCCGCTTGTTGTTGCTGCTTTTTGTAGATACAACACGTGATTCCTTGTATGCTGGTTGGATGCTGGATCTCGATGCCCTGGAATCCATCCGTCTTGTTGTTTCTTGTGATTCGTGGGTTGTATTAACTTTGGCGCAGCACAATTTTCTACGCTGAAATGTTCCATTAAGCTTATCTGGGTTGTGCTCTGAGTTTGCAATGACATTTAAAATCACCCGTACTATCTCCTCTATCTCCTACGTGAGATGTGTTTGCTCCGACGCTACTGGCTCTAGCCCCGCGTGCGTTAGCAGTCGTTGCAGCTGACGGTATGCCCCGCCCCTGTATGACCTAGCCCCAGTGTTCTAAAATTGGATATTGGTTGGGTGTGCCGATGAAGAAGAAAAAAACCTAGGATGAGAAAAAAGTAAATAACTGCAGTATTTTTGCAAAATGGTGTAATGCCAATTTTTATGCTAACTGATAAACCAGGATTTCATGTCAGGATCTTGACAGGGTGTGGAACAAAAGGATGTGGGTGCATTAACTGTCAAGTGACAAGTGAACTGGCTGTTGGGAATACATGAAACTCTTTTCAGAGATGAAGTGAAGTCGGTCATTCATATTTTAGGGATGAAAATATTTTCCCCATTAGGTGTGATTTGCCACCAAAAAGCCTGAAAAATGAAACACTGCCTAGCCCCTACCCCGTTACCCGACAGTGCGGCGCCGACTTTGTCAAGGTGCAACAGCGACCGGCAGAGGGCATGACCCTGGCGCCGCACGCGCGCTGCGTGTCGGTCGATGGTGACGCCGACCGCATCATCTACTTCTACGTGGACGACAACGAGAAGTTCCACATGCTCGACGGAGACCGGATCGCTACCCTGGGTCAGTCAGGGGAAGCGGGAGGGAGTAGGGAATGTCCTGGGTCGGCCCGGGGGTAGCGGAGGGGGCGGGGCAGCACAGGGGTAGGGGTGAGGCTGGGGTCGTCAGGGGAACATCAGGGAGGGTTAGGCGGTACTCTGGGGCCAGTCAGGGGAACCAGGGAGGAGTACGAGATTTTCTGGGGCCAGTCAGCGGGATCAGGGAGGGATAAGAGGTAGGGGAGAGTGGGGTAATTTGGCCGCTTTTTTTAGAAAACGATGTAACCAAAAATCGACAACACATTTCTACATTTTCTCAACGCTGACAGGTGTGGCATACATTTTACTTTCTTGGACAGTAAACTTGAAATGATAGAGTAACTACTTATATGTGACGTATTACAAAGGTCTGCAAAGCGGCCAAATTGCCCCACTAGCAGGGTTATTTGGCCGGGGGTGTGGGGTAATTTGGCCGGTGTTAGTTTGAGGCCATGATTTTTGTTATAGGCGAGTCAGCTTCACATTCAGCAATGACGCGTGTCCTACGACGCATTTGAAGCATTTTGGAGGTTGACTCAGCCGTCACAGGGGTCGAAAATAGTCAAAATAGCGGCTCTAGATGCGATGACAGTTTTTTACGAATTGCTTTTGAAGTAATCAAGCTAGGCCAAAACTAAAAGTACCATCGTAACTCTCTCGTCATTCCGCATCGAAACATGTATGTGTTGACCTCGAGAGGTCAAGGTCAAAGGTTGGTTTCAGGTCACGTTACCTCAGGTCGCCTGACCTCAAGGTTACGTGTGAGTTCAAGGTCATGATGTACATCATTCGATGCGCCTTGACGAGCTGAACACAATGAGGCCATTTGCGCGGCTGTATCTTTTTTCTGTAAGTATTTATTAGCAAAAAAAGCGTTAGGTAACCTTTGATGACGTCACATGCCCTTACAGCTGTCCAATAGGAAATATGGCATCAAGGTAGTCAAAGTTGGTTATGAATTATGTCCTTTATGGTATAATTGACCATGACAACTCAGCCGTCCCAGCATAGTGACTCTGAGCGCACCGGCCAAGTTGCCCCGCTAGTACCGGTCAAATAACCCCACATTGCCATTCTGAAAATTTTTGTCTATAACGTCGTCATGGCTGTACAGAACTAGATGATATTGCTCTTGGAACCGCTGAACACCCTCAAAAATGGCGCTATAATGTTGGAATTCGTTTACAGCCCAAATACTACATGTTATACAAATTTTTAAACGGAAGTAAAAGTTACCATTTTCTAACGAAATTCACCTCTTATTAATTTTGAATAAAACTAAGAGGGGGAAGGTTTTGACATTTGTTCTCGAGTTAGTTCTGCCGATGACAAATGAATAGAGACTTAAGTTATTTCATTCACTTTTATCAGCTTTCGTACAGGTGGGGGCGGCCAATTTACACCACCGGCCAAATTACCCCACTCTCCCCTACTCCGGGGTCAGCAGAGACTGCCGAGATTGACAGTGGATGGCACCGCGCTGAATGCGGGAAATGGAGAGGCTGCGGCTCGTTTACTTGAAGAATGACTCTCGACTCGCGAGCATTGCCGATTTACGGCGTGCTCAGACTTTGCAATGCGAGGCGGCGAAATCTTAGCGAGACGCTGGAGATGGCTTCAGCCGTCCCAGTTTCCTGGTATTGGCGATATTCAGTGTCATCAACTGTTGTACGACGTCTGAGTTTGGGGATATTGCTCCACTGATGTTAATTAGCCGGTTTATGTGCCGTGGTAAGATGCAGTGCCGTCCTCGGGTATCTGGCTGTGTGTGGGCGGTGTGGATTTACGACTCTGTCGGTGCCAGATGGTGCGTGGGACTGGGATACCGCCCGGGCCGTCCTGCTGGCGGGGACACGCGCTGATTGGAGCGCCAACTCGATAACGATAGTACTGCCGGCGCTGAGAGGGAGCTGTAGCTAGTTAGCCGGATGTGGGGGCAGGGAGGGGGGACAGCCACAGCCAATGTGACTGGTGACACCGCCAGTGGTGTCTGGTGTAGTTATAGCCACACTTATCTGGTGCCAGAGAGTGGTGCTGCTTAGTGCACTGGTGTCGCGAACCGAGCGAGCCCTGTCGTACTTCACATGTGTCATGCCACTTCACTGCCATGCTGCAGTGCGCTACCGGCTCAGGCTGCGTTACTGACTACCGTGTTGCCGTTACAGGCTCAATCGACCTGATCGCTCGTAGCTGCTGTTTGACTGCATCAGTGCATTACCCGCGGCCGCCCGTAATTACCACATCCCGTTGGGAAGTCCCCGTGCCTCCCGTCTTACCGCACATGGCTCCAACACTGTCTCGGACAGTTGGCTTTAAGTTGAACACCGGTGTCTACTTATGATGCACCGCGGTCGGTAAACCGGACGAACTTAAATTGGTTTCTAATTACTTGGATTTGACTTCATAATTTCAATCCAATGACTAAGTAACATGCTTGCTTACTTAGAGGTAGTTAAGGTTTGTTGGAAATCTGGCGATTAATTCGGACCCCGGACAGAGCCGATCAATGGTCAGCCCCAGTCACCGACTGCCTCCCTGGCTGTTCTCAGCATCCAGCCAGCGTCTGTCCAAACATTGCGTCACGACCTTATCCAGAGTGGTGTCAGTTATAGCCGGAGCTCCTCGCGACAGAGCGAGCTGCACGCCGAACTGGGCCAACTATCTGCCGATTCGCCCGCCGGCTTTATGCCGATGGAGTTTGGGTAGTCCGGCGTCTGCCGCCGCCGCGAGGGGCGGGCTCGACAAGCGCTATTGACTGCTCGATAGTGTCCGCCGGGCGAACGGTAGCAGCCGGCCATATTTTACCAACGACAGGCGCCGCATGATAAAGCTCCGCCCGGCGGGCATTTAGGACTTTTATAGCGCGGCCAGACGGCACTCGGCGCGCCGCCGCCGGTGCAGCCGCCGGTGGATATTGGCTGCGGGCCGATCGGAACGGCACCATGTGAACCGCCGCTCTAGTCCAGCCCTCACACCATTTGTGCATATCGAGCATACCGCTCCAATTCCGCTGTAGTTCATATATAAGTGTGCTTGGTGTCCATGTGTGCATATCGAGCTTACGGTCAAAATTCCACTGTAGTTCATGTATTAGTGTGCTTAGTGTCCGAGTGTATAAGATGTGTTCTAACGGGGAAGATCATCCATGTGGTGTAGCCAGCGTCATTTTAGCTTTACGATATGATCAGGCAACACACAGTACCTACACGGTACGAATACTATGCTGTGGCGGCGCTGAAGCTGCTTGGATCGAGCCAGATACAAAACTTCTTTAATGCCATCAATGTGTGCATGCAGGGGTGCATCCGCATCAGGAAAGGATGCAGATTCAGGAGATCAGGGCGTTGTTATTTAAATGTTCTCTTTGTAATTTTGTGTGTGATTTGCTAAACAAGTTGTTTATTTCATGCAGTTTCACTTGCGTTTCTTATACGGCAAAACTTACCCTGGTGTGGACATTTCGTCTTGTGAGAACCTCTAATCGTCCTCCAGTGAGCCCTTTACTGAAAGAACCATCACAGGCACACATTTAAGACACCATTAGCACCTCGCTTACACGTGATTCAATGTTGCCTGCTCTCCCTACAGCCGCCTTGTGGCCGTAAAGCCGTCAGAGAGGCTGGAGCTCCGCTAATGGAGACCGCACACAGCGGTAAACACCCCCACCAGCCCGGCACACGATCCGACTAATTGTCTACGAAGCGCAGCTCGTGGTTTATTCGGTAATCACTCCCGTCCCGGTGAGCAGTCCGGACGCTCTCCGGTGTCCATATTTCTCCATCAGTGTCGGCGGCGGGCGGCGGGGTGCCGGCCTCCAAACGGCCTCCTTGTCGAGCTGCGGCGGTACGTACGCCGGCCCAGAGCTCCTGCGTGCCGCCGAGCGGGCGTCGTTCCCGGTGCGGCCGAATGGCGCGCTTTACGAGTGTGCCGCGACGGAGGCACAGCTTTAGTGCGGCCCGGCCGGCGCGCCTGCAGAGGAGTGCTGCGGGAGGCGAGCTGTACAGGCAGATCTGGGATCACAGCGGGCGGCACCGAGCTGAACAGGCTGTGAGCTGGGAGCGCTACAGCCTGACAGCTGTGGACTGCGCCGGCCGCTCTGTGAGCCCAGTGCCCAGTGGGCTGTGAGCTGTTGGCGCTGCAGGCTTTGGGCTGCGCCGAATGGGCTGTGACACGGGTATGAGCGCTGTGGGCTGTGAGCTCTACAGGTTGTGAACTCTACACGCTGTGAACTGCGCCTGCTGGAATATGACGCTGCTGTGAGCTCTGCAGGCTGTGGGCCGGGCTCTCCGATGGCTCTCCGAACCCTACGCCACGCGCCCGGGGGCTTTGAATAGACGACGGGAGTGCAGCCGAATCTGGCTGGTTTCAGAGGTGGGGGCCACCAGGGGGAAGGTGCTGGATTGCATGGATAAGATAGGATTGGGCGGGATTGACATTGCCATTGAACGGGATATGGAGCATTGAACTGGCTGTGACGGGAATAAATGCCATGAGATAAGAAGGGCCGAAATGAGTCGAAAATATGCAAGGAAACGGCACACTTGGATTCTCCCGCTCTCACCCTTTGGCTGTGTCCTCGACTTATGCATAGATGACTGATGGAAGCTATGCAATGAATCTCAGTGCAGTGACGTCACAACATACGTTGCTGGTCTACGTCGAGGTGATCTCTTAGCCAGACATGTCTATTCTGGTCCCCGCGCCATACTTTGAACCATTCCGTTATGCGCTACATCGCGCCTCCAGCCGTTAATCCAACACCAAACTGACGTAAAGCCCACACTAACGTGGGTACTTTGTGCGTTTTATTGCGGTCCTCGTCCGTAATATGGCTGTAGAACTCTTTCAGCCGTGTGACATGCACTGGACCTCGGCCGCTCAGGTGGGTCGGGGCCAGGTGTGTCAGGGGACGTGTTACGGCCGATGATGACGTTGATGTTACCCCCGCCCCGTCGGTTCGGGGGGGGGAGGTGGGGGTGATGGTTACCATGTGAACGCCAGGTGCCGCCGCCCCCGGCCCACACTCCACGACAGAAGGACGGCGTTAGGTATTGGTACTCGTTTTCTGGACTGGCCATGGGTCGAAAGGGAGAGAGTGCGGATTGGCGGGGAGCTGGGAAGAATTTCAGTTTCTTATGATAAACTGCAGTGTACCTACTATAGTCACCCGTTCCCCTGTAGCCTGTAGCCCCCCCCCCCCCCCGTGTCTGTGACGGTAGATTGTACTTCCCCTTTCTATGACAGTACAGGGTGTCCCGAAATTGATGCGCGGTTGGTGCCGCATGTTATGTTGTCCCTCCCGAGTGCTGAACAACTGCAATTTTACCGGCTCTGGCACCACGGGCTGGTCACACGATCACGTGAACCAAGCGGCTAACCCGACCGCGGCCGGTAGTGGGCGCGGTGGGCGCGGGAGGCCACTCTTGTCCAGACAGGCAACGTGGAGAAACCGCATATCACCAAAAGTGAAAAGGCACAAACTACCGATCCGCTACCGCGCGGTGGGGATGATCAAGGACGGTGTGACCCAGGTTCCGGATGCCAGAGAATTGGGCGTCAACTCTGCGACAATTAAACTTTGGATGGACTGCAAACGATCAGGAGAGACACTCAAGAACAGCACAGTTCGAGGGCGGAAGACTGCCTTGAGCCGAGTGGCGAAAATCGTGATTGCAAAGTCGACCTTTAAAAAGCACCATTCAACATCGCTGACAAGAAAACTGAATGAGATGCATGTCCCAGCATCCAAATCGACCCTCCACCAGTATTTGAAGACTATCTTGAAGCTGAAGCTGCTCAGCTTCAGGATGCAGACTTGGCCTACCGTGGTCCAGAAGTGCAGGCAGCTGGATTTCGCCAAGACCCACAAAAACTGGACCATTCAGGACTGGAGATGCGTCCTTTTCAGTGACAAGGTGCCCTTTGTGGTCTCTAAGCCCCTAACTGCCAGAAGGATCGAAATGTGGGCCAACGGCAGCTCTGAGGAGTCCTCTGTCGAGACGGTGAAACGTCTGCTGAAGAATCTCATTTGGAGCATGATGAGCTACAGAGGCGCTCTGAACTTCACGAGGTGCCTCGGGGACAGACCGTGACTGCTTATTACTATGTCAACGAGGTGCTGAAGAAGACTGATGCCACAAAGATGCTGAGGGAAAAGGTAAATGGTTCAAAAACCAGACTCAAACTTTTGTCGAACATGTCCAGGGCCATTTTCCAGCAAGAAAGGGCTCCAGCTTATCACGCCAGGAAGACCCAGGACTGGTGCCGAGCGAGGCTCCCAGGCCTCTGGGAGAAGGTGACATGGTCTGGCAACAGTCTGGACCTGTCCCCGATCCAAATTATCTGGACGATCGTCAGAAAAGAGCTCAGCAAGCTTCCACGGGCTAGCTCAGAGAAGAGGCTGTTTCAGAAGATATAAACGGCATGGCGTTGTTTCAAAGGAGAGACTCTTGACAACCTGAAACGTGACACGCTAGAGTGCAATAGGCCGTGTGTGCAACTGAATGGGGACTATGATAACATATAAGCCGTGAAATAAATTCGAGCACTTTATAAGTTATTGAGGATAGAACAACCGCGCATCAATTTCGGGACACCCTGCACACTTCACCGTCCTTCTATACGACAATGATCTATACCCTTCTCCGGTGTCCCGGAACAGTTAACTGCAAGTCCTCCTCCCCTTGTCTCCGACAGTGGCCGGTTACCTGCGCGAGCTTCTGGAGGCCAGCGGGCTGCAGCTGGACCTGGGCCTGGTACAGACGGCCTACGCCAACGGCAGCTCGACCAAATACATCACTGAGCAGCTGGTAAGGACGGCTCCCCACGGACCGTCGGCCGCCGCGCCGCCGGCCTCTAGTGGGACCGACAGGGCCGGGCGGGGCAGTCATCGGCGGCATGCCGTACTGAACAGCTGGCCTTTGCAGTTCATGGTCTCTCTCTCTCTCTCTCTCTCTCTCTCTCTCTCTCTCTCTCTCTCTCTCTCTCTCTCTCTCTCTCTCTCTCTCTCTCTCTCTCTCTCTCTCTCTCTCTCTCTCTCTCTCTCTCTCTCTCTCTCTCTCTCTCTCTCTTTTTTCCATACATCATCATTTATTACGACAAACCACATTTTACATGATCTCATGTCACAAACGCACGACGTTTCAGCGCCCTCAAAAAGCTCCTGGCCCCTGTCTTCCGCTCACTCCGCACCAAACTAGCCAACATAATATAAACATCCATAACAAAATAGCATTTGCCTACGAGCTGACCTCATGGCCCCATACCGGACTGGACACCAGACCGATTCCTTCTACGCACCGGTCTCTCTCGCACGCGCTCTCTGACTGACCACATATCTCTCTCTCTCTCTCTCTCTCTCTCTCTCTCTCTCTCTCTCTCTCTCTCTCTCTCTCTCTCTCTCTCTCTCTCTCTCTCTCTCTCTCTCTCTCTCTCTCTCTCTCCCCCACTCTAAGTATCGCTCATTCTCTTTTCCGGTCATATTCTGTGCACGACTCTTCCCGTCTAACTCTACTCACTATTTTTCTTTTTCTTATTTTCGGACATTTCGCTTCACTCACTGACTCACTCCCTCACTCACTCACTCACTCACTCACTCACTCACCCGCCCACCCGCGACTTCGTTGTTCCATTGTCTCCGATTTTCAATTTCCTCCGTTCGTTCTCGACTGTGCGCCCTCCTCCCGTCTTCTTTCTCTCGGCAATTGCTTTTTCCGTCGGCTGGCCGCGCTAATTTCGTTTCCTTTCCCTCCACCCTAGCCGACGGTCAGTGGACTCGGGGCCTAATTGTATCAGTGGGGGCTGACCGGCCACTGGCGCCGGCCCGTGCGCCGATAAGTACGCACGGATAGGGATTGTTACACAGTGGATGGGCAGTCTGACATTTGGGATAGCGGTATCCGGGGCGGCGGTAGGAATATTTGTTCGTTATTGGAGACCATACCAGGCCCAATTACACCAGATCTAGACTGTATTGGTATTGGATCCGAAATAATTCTATACCAGACAAGCCGAAGCCTTACACTGGATAAACAACAGGCACAATCCAGCAATTTTCAAGTTACTCGTACCAAAATTCCCAATTCCAGCGTATTCCATTGATTTCGTACGGCCGCTCTGAGGGACGGGCTAACCGAACGGCGGACAGACGGACTGACAGGCGGCTGCAGCGCCAGGAAGCGGCCATCCGCGCGCGCTTTGTCGTCGATTGTGGCCACTTAGCGCGGACAGGGGGGTATCCGGCGGGCCGGGCCGCCGTCCCCGCGCTGGCAGTCGCGGCCGGCCTGCCGGCGCCACTATCTGTGATATCCGCCGGAAGAGCAGGCCGCGAGGGGACTGGGCGGGGCGGGAGCGGCGGGAGAAACATCACATGACCGAGGGGAACAGCGGAGGGCGGCGCTGGCATAACACTCTGTCTATGCTAATGGGCCCACTAGCTGTTGCACAGATAGATAGCCGTGTCTCTGATGTGCTACTAGCTTGTTGTATGGTAATCCCCGTGTGATGACGCTACCACTCACTCTGTATCCCCCTCCAGCATGTGCCCGTAGCCTGCACCCCGACCGGCGTCAAACACCTGCATCACCGCGCCGTCGACTTCGACATCGGCGTGTACTTCGAGGCCAACGGTCACGGCACGGTGGTGTTCAGTTCGGCGGCGCAGCGGAAGATCGCCGAGGCCGGCGCCGATCCCAGGTCAGTCTCTGGTGCGGTTCCGTGACACTCGGCATTTTTCTAACGTCTCCTCACACGCAGGGAAGAGTGGAAAGAGCCGGCTGCTGACACGGCAGAGCGTGGCACAGACCGGGGATAGCGAGGGATGGAGATGATGGGGACTGGAACTCATATCGCTGACGTATGCACGTGAATGTGTGCATATGTGCGTGCAGGGGAGTCGTTTATCCCACTATGCGAGCGTGCATGTGTTACATGCGTAGTTGGAAATTCCGACCTCATCATACTCAGCGGTGTTTTGGATTATTGGAATATAGTCCACCCACGCACTCTGCATTGGCCGCGGCGGGGCTCAGGCGTGCTGACGAGGTATCCGCCCACTCGGCCGCTCAGCTCACACCTCTGGACAGAGGAAGGGAGGGATGAGAGAGGAAGGGGGATGACTGGGTGAGCCGGGACGTGGGACGAGCCTCTGGGCCGCGGCCGATCCGACGCACCGGCGGCAATCGATGGTGCCCAGCGCGCCGCAGCGGATAATCGCCGCTTCAGCCATGGCAACGGAGCCGGCTGCGGTGGCTCACGCGGGCCGCTGCTGCCTCGGAGCGGCCCGGGTTCAGCCGCAGTCCGGGGTCCGACCGCGGCACGGACTGCGGTTATGGCCGGACACGGGGACGTGATTTTCGATGGACGGCGCGGTATCGGCGCTCGGAGACGATCACGGTGCGGTAGCGGTGCTCAGAAGCGAACACGGCGCGGCTCGCTCCCTTCCCGGTCGGCGCGGCGTGGGGAGCGGATCCGGGTGCAGTTGGGAGGTGTCGTGGCTGACTCGGCCGGGCTGGTTTATGATACAGCGTGACTGCTGGATTATGAGAGCGAAATGTGTGCTGGAACCTCATGACTTCTGTTTGTGCTCCGAATAACACTAGGTAGTGACGAGAAACTGAGTCTGAATGGCACTCTGGATTCCATTTGAGATATCAGCTGTCGTCCTGACTACACGTGCTCCAAGAATGCTCAATGTGATTTGTGAGTTCAAATAATTCAATTGCGTGATTTTAGTTTTATTGCGTCAATTTCCTTCTACTTTCATCTCATATAGGTATCCATGTTTCGGTAACCTTTATGGAACAGCTGCCCTTATATCCGTGGGCTGACACCTGTCCCTGTGTTCCGTCAGTCTGAGTGAGAGCCAGCGGGCGGCGGCCGGCCGGCTGCGCGATGTCATGGACGTCATCAACCAGACGGTGGGAGACGCCATCTCGGATATGCTGCTGGTCGAGACAGTGCTGCACGCTCGCGGCTGGAGCATCGCCGACTGGAGTGCCGCCTACAGTGACCTGCCCAACCGGCAGCTCAAAGTCAGCGTCAAGGTGGGTCGCCGTCCGACGCCCCACCCCGGCCTCTCCCCTCGTCAGGATGACAGAATGAGAGACAGATGAGAGGCACAGGAGATAAGTATGATCCTCGCCGAGTTTCCTGAGCGACGTGCGCTGCTATGGTGCTGCAGGACGCGGCATCCCGCCCCGCTTCGCCGGCGCCTATTGCTCCCCGTGCAGTTAGCACCACATCGTCGGGCTATTCCCAATGCTCGGTCGTTAATCATTCGCCCCTGTCGACGTGGAAATGGTCGCCTGTTGCGCCCGTGTTATGGAACTGTCCCTGGGGGTCGGCGGCTCACGGAGCCTAGTTCCACGCCCGAGCCGCCATGACTGTCAACGGGCCTGTGAGGTAGGTGGGACGCGCAGCACATCCTTAGCTTTATACCGCCCCATCCCTCCAAAACTCAGCTAACTCCCATCTCATCTTATATAAAAAAAAACAGTTTCGGAACCTAAGTTAGCTGTGGCAATAAAGAGTTCATCCGGGCGGGCTCTTCTTCACAAACAGCCGGGTAAAAAAACGACGTTTGACGCGCTGGCTGTGTGGGTGTCGACCGCTGCCTCGGGGAAGCAGACCCAGATCGACTCACAGGACAATCTCGACCGCATTGTGGCCGACGACTGATCAGAGCGGTGCGCAGTCTGAGCAGAGACTGTCGGCGAAACCCAGTTCCACACTCAAAGCCATGCCCGCGGCGGCGAACCGTGATTTCTTGGGAAACCGGCACAACATTGAATGTCGTGAAATATTAAATCTGGAATGTTCTTCGGAATCCATTTGGAAATGAAGTAATGAAAGTCGTCCCTACCTATCAACCCGGAATTTGCTGTACCGAATATTCTCGGTCATTCTGTGCATGAGGCTCAACAATTTATGAAGCTTTTTAGCAAGCTGGAGTGTTGTTAAAAGTAATGTAATATGCAACAGTTGCTATTGGCACAAAATCGGTATTTCAGGTCTCGGAGATCCCGTCTTTTTACACAATAGCAAATACTATGCACAGAACGGGAGCTCAGTCTCTGCCGCGGGTTGGAACAGAGTGCCGGAGTACGGCAGAGTTCGGGAGCGGACCATCAGCGGCGCCCCGGGGTGCGGTCCCGGCGGAACCGGCGCCTTTCGGCCGATGGGGTCCCGTCTGGCGGCGTCGTACCGACACGCTGGCTCTCCGTCGCCGCGCCGCGCCGGCGGTATTTCCGTTTGTCGGCGCTCGAGCCGGCCGGGTGCCATCGATCTCTGCTAGGCCGCTCTCGGCACTGGCGTCTCGACTTGGCGGCGCGGCGGCCCGGCCGTGAGCCGGTAATTATGAAGCCGCGCCCGGCGAGTGAGCTGTATTCGGACGGTGTCCGGCCGGAGACGGCTGCTGACCGATCGGCCGGCCGGCCGCCACTGATGGATGGTGACGGAGCGGCCGGCGCGCTCAGAGCAGCCGGCCCGCGCCGCTCACACCGACCGGCTCCCACTCCGGACGGTGGCACGCGCCTCTGCATTAATCACCCGGCTGAATCTCATCCAAAGGGTGCTTCGCCTCACTGGAGAGTTTGTTCAATGTTGGATGCTCCCCTAATGGTCTACATACTTTGCGTTGAGCTGCCACCTGAAACTCCTGGTGACGGGTAGGTGGCGATGGCCCGTCTGACGTCAGTAGCCTGTCTGTCGACCCCGCCCGCCGGTCTGTGGCGCCGCCCCGAACAATCAGTGTCTGGGTGGCGCCGTTAGTGCATACCGGCGGCGAGACGGTGACGCAGGCGGACAGTGAATGGCGGCGCCTGTCGCCGGCGCGGCGGTCGCTGCCGTCACCTATTGTCGCCCGCCGCCGCTGCTGCTGTCACGGCGACTGGCCCGTCGCGCACGCTACCCCGTCCCGCGGGCACCACGTAACGTCTGTTCCGGCTCACTCTGTCCCAGTGTCCCACCCGGCGTCGGCGCAACGACGTCTGTCTCCTACAATGAGCCGGGCCTCTCCAACGCCTGCCTCCCAGCGCGGAGTGGTGTAGCAATTGTGTTACACATATCTGACACCCGTCTCCTATCATAAGCCCAGCTGTGTCTCTAACGCCTGTCTCCCATGGACTATCATAATATCATAGCCGACCATGGACCATCATAGTTTCGGGGTGTGTCTCCTATCATGAGCCGAGTGATGCCTCCTTTTCCCGTTCCCTTTTTCTGTGCCCTGCTGGTGTTGGCCGCCCGAGCAGCGGTGATCGCTCAGCCGACGGACCTGAGGGAGGGCGTTTATTAGCCGTACCGTGGTCGTCTATTGTGGCCGACCACACACCAGATGGTGCGGCCGGCCGACCGGCGCCGATAGCTCGTCTTATTGCCGGCTCGTCTCCTTTATTGGAGTTTTTGTCGCCGAGAGACGCCGTTTCGATTTGTGAAGGTTGCAGGTGTGCTCAGCGCCGCCGCTGTCTCCAGTGAGTTATTGCGCGCAGTTTTCTCTGTTCAGTGGACAGTGCAGATTGTATGTTCAGTCGCAGTGATTAAATGGAGTGTCTCACTGCGACGAGAGTGCGACAAAGTTTTCAGTTCGCAGACACAAGTGCCTCCGAAACACGGGCGTTACACTAAAACAGAGGCGGCGCCGGTGTAAATTACGCTGGAACGATGGGTTAGCGCTTTCTGGCGGCCGTGTGGGAAGTTCGCCGGGTCCTGGAGTGAGATTGCGATGGCTGCCGTTGCTGGAGGGCTGAGAACGATGAACTGGCGGCGCCCGGCCGGCCACTGTCAGACCCGGGCGCCACTGAGAGACCCTGACAGCGGGACAGCGGGGCTGTCAGCCGGCTGTCAGCCGAGACGTCAGCGTCAGCCGTCAGCAGCGACGCAGGGGAGTGTTTTTACTGTGGATCGTTGTGTTTGGTATTATGAAACGATGAATGAAAGAACAAACCTCTTAGTTTCTCCTTACTTCAAACTTTGGAGTGTTGACAATCGATAAGTCTGTATTATTTAGTAATTGTTATGCATTTGAAGATGTGCTAAGACAGCTATCCTCTGTGCATGCGCCATGCGGGAGATGAAAGCCGTGCATCAGCCCGGAAATTTTACATTATGCGTAACGATTAAACACATATTTTGACTTTCACTCATCGACAGAAGGACGGTAGAAGTCCACTTTTATCAAAGAAATAAAAAGCTGTTCTCTCACGTCATTTATCCTGTTATTTGTACGCTCCACGCGGCGTGTCCCACCTTTTGTCCTCAAATTGCTTATCGACCGCTCCTGATTGCCACTAATGACTCTCGTGGCGGGATAACGAGATAGCACGAACGTAATGAACAACAACGCACGCTTTCTGGATGAAGGTGCGCGATCGCGCAGTCTAAATGCAGTCCCAAAAAAGTCTGCTGGCCGGTGGTCCGCTATTGGCTTTTGAGGTCGCAGTTTCCGCGATGCCTACCGAATCCAAATTCTGCCTAATTTTAGGTGATACGTATTGTTATCGCTACTTAGATTAATGGTGAGGTCGAGGTCAATTTATTAACCTATTAAAACCTGACTTCCTTACGGTGCCGTATTGCGTAATTGAAGAAAGCAGATTAATTACAGATAACGAAGTTCATCAGCCGTCATATATGGCGGTTTCCGAGCGCCGGCCGCTGGAAGCCCTGGCTGCGTAGGCAGACCCGCCTTACCGCTGGGTAGTGCGGTACAGTCTACCAGTTCAGTGAATCGCGCTTGGCGCTCGCTGGCCATCTGGCGAAGAACGCGAGGAGCTGCAAGCTTCTGCTAATCCGCATTGGCTACGAGCTGACCAACTTCCGATTGACAGCCAGTAATGACGTGCCTTTTCGCGTGCTGTTGATGCTCCTGGTGTGATCCTTCGATATTATCAACCCGCCCAATCAACGAGACACGCACGTGTCAGCCTGGCACCTATTTATGACAGCGACCGCGCTGACCAGCCGCTCGCCTTCCTGGTGTGTGGGTCGCTTGTCAGGATATTACAGTGTGACCTTGCCGAGGAGCGGCGGGCCCGGACAGGTGCGCCAGCTCGATCTTCATGACCTGACGTGGAGGGTCGGTGGGCCGCAGTTTGACGCCGGCCTCTTGGGTCTCACGGCTATGGCCAATGTCGGCTATGGCCAATGTCATCTCGTTCCTTCATCACCGCTGCGTGCTACGAATCCGCAGCTCCATTATCAAACTACCACTTCAGGTCATCTGAACATTCCCCGTAGCCATTAGCCATCACATTCTCAGCTCTCGCCAAGCGTCGGTGATAGTTACGGGCGGGGGCGACCTAGGCGGCGGGTCGTGTCACTGTGTCAACCCCTGGTCATGTCACTGTGTCAGCCCCGGGCCGACGGGACAGCGGCCAATTACCGCTCCCAATGCGCGATGTGTCCGATTAGACGGCCCATGTGTCCGATCTGACGGCTGATGTGTCCGATCTGACGGCTGATGTGTGGCAGTAGATGACTGATGTCACGATCATGCGCGAATTGATGCACTGATATGCCAGCTGATGTGCTGTTTATAAGTCACATCTTGGTGACCCATGGTCTGCCTCAGCCATAGGTAAAATGCTATGGTGGCCTTCAGATGCAGCTTAGAAATTATACTCAAAAGGAGCCACCACTTTCTTCGATCTAAACTTATCTTGCCGTAATTCTAACTCTGATAGGTTTAGTATGCCTCTATAAGTGGCTGACAGAGTTTCGTTGATTGCCCGGAAGTACTGTGCTCCGGAGCGGGGACTGCTCGGCTTTCGTGCCTTTCGGTTCCTGTGAGCCGACCCGTCTGTGCCAGGGGTGATAAGGCTGCTGCGACCCGAGCGGCAGCTTCCTCACTCTGTGTCGACAGAGTCGGGCGGCGCGATCTGCCAGAGCGGGCTGATTTGACAGAACAGCGCCTAATCTGGGAGGTCGAGCGGCTGCCCCCTCACCTCCCCTACCCGGACGGAGCTCCTGTGCGGGCTCTGCTGACGGCCGGCATTAGCGACCAGACGCCCCCCCCCCCCCCCCCCCCCCGAGACGGCTTATGTGT